CCCTACTTTCTTCAATTTTAGTCTGAATTTGGCAATAAGGAGTTCATGATCTGAGCCACAGTCAGCTCCCGGTCTTGTTTTTGGTGACTGTATAGAGCTTCTCCATCTTTGGCTGCAAAGAATATAATCAATCTGATTTTGGTGTTGACCATCTGGTGATGTCCATGTGTAGAGTCTTCTCTTGTGTTGTTGGAAGAGGGTGTTTGCTATGACCAGTGCGTTTTCTTGGCAGAATTCTATTAGCCTTTGCCCTGCTTCATTCTGTACTCCAAGGCCAAATTTGCCTGTTACTCCGGGTGTTTCTTGGCTTCCTACTTTTGCATTCTAGTCCCCTATAATGAGAAGGACATCTTTTTTGGGTGTTAGTTCTAGAAGGTCTTGTAGGTCTTCATAGAACCGTTCAACTTCAGCTTCTTCAGTGTTACTGGTTGGGGCATAGGCCTGGATTACCGTGATATTGAATGGTTTGCCTTAACAGTGTGACAGGCTGGAAGAGATCTGAAATATACTTCTAGTGTTTTAATTTTGTGAAAGGATTTTGAAAAAGATGGCAATAATTAAACTAATTTACAAAGATAATTCCAAATACTTGAAAAGTATTTTATAGGACTTTCAAGTGATTGTAAAAATAGAGAATAAACTATTCTAAAATCAGAGGAACATAAAAAAGGAAGGAAGGAAGAAAGAGAGAGAAAAGGATGGAAGGAAGGAGGGAATCAGAGAATCTAAATTCTTACACAGAGAAAAACATTAACTTTCTAAACTGAATTACTGTCACTTATTAACTGATTAAAGAAACTACTAAGTCTTTCTATATCCCCAAACATTTAGATCTCTAAATTTAACAGTTTTCAGGTTGGGGCAATAATAACAGTAATAATAACAAAATATGCGACCATTCATATAAGACTTCTCTATAATTGATGTTGAACTTCAATGAGATAATAGAGAACATTTAAACCAATTTTTAAAGACAAAAAAACCCTGCTTCTCTCTGAATGGCCTCCAAATCCTGAGAAAATCTCATTTTATGCAATAGACATGCTACCAAAATGTTGTTCATAAACCTTTTATTTTTTCTGAGATAATGTTTCCCCACTAAATGATAATTTCTAACTTGCTTTATCTTTGTCCCAAGTAATTCTTCAATTGTCAGAAATGCCTGACAACTTGGTTTTTAGTTTCTCTGTAAAGCACTTGTTCTGTGGTAAATGAATTCTAATTTTTAAAACAAAAGAACCAATAGATATTACTTTTAAGAAAAAAAGGCTTTGTAGTGAATATATTTATGGTTATAGTCTCATGTAACAGAATAGCAACTCAAAAGACTACTCATTTTACCTTCCAAACTGTATTAGTTAGACTTGGGTAGTCTATGTTACAATAGTAAATAAATCCTCAAGAATCAGTGGGTTAGTATACCAAAGTTAGTTTATCTAACTATTTACATTCTAATAGGTTTCTATTGAATACATATGTGTGCATGTTTAGATATGCAGGAAATCACTGAATCACATGCATTTGACTGAACACTAAAACTCTCCTACAAATTCTTGTCTTCCCTTGCCATTCGATTAATTGGACGCTTCTTGTCCTCTTCCATCTCTTTATCTTTCTCTCTTCCATCACTTGTTGCCTAGGAACAGCACCCCACCTCCAACTTGCCCACTTCTTATTTAACCAGAGGGCTGATTCAAGGTGTATCTACCATAGTAGAACTACTTAAAATGCAGGTGACTTAGAAAAGGAGAAAGATGGAAATCATTAACTACCACTCAACACGCAGTTGCCCACTACTATCACTAAGTCTTCCATCCCAATGCTCAGCTTCCCTCCCATATTTTTACCCACCAGTCAACAAAGGGAACGAAAGACAAGAAATAGAAGCTAAGGGATCTTAAGAGAAGAGAGAGAATGTTTCCTGCTTTCTA